TGTAGGATCATACCTCCACATTTGGTGGAGGTGTGACAAAATACAGACCTTTTGGGAAAAAATATCTAAAATCTTCTGAGATATACTCAAAATTAATATGCCATTAACACCAGAAACGTATTTATTAAATATGATTCCGGATACAATAAAGAACCACATAATAGTATACCTATTAACAGCAGCAAGAATTGTGACAGCAAAGCGTTCATCAATGAGAGAACTTACACAGAAGATTCTGGAAATAGCTGAAATGGACAAACTGAACATGACACTACAGAACAAACCAGAGGAACCTTTTTGGGGCAGATGGGAAGTAATTTACAATTGGCTGAAGCTGAAGAAGATACAGTAGATCTGAGAACTTGCTAGTAATAGATAATGGACTATAAACAAGAAAGGAAAATTTTATAATAAGTAACGTATAAGTATCAGAGCTATTTTTGGGCAGGAACGCACAGGAACGGAGTTCCGGCTGGCTCCCGAGTTGGCCACGCCCAGCAGGAACTCATTAGCATAATAGGCCACACCCAACAGCAGAAACTCATTTGGATTGGCTACAATAGGGGTGTGTGGCCTAACATGCAAAGGAGTTCCTGCTACAAAAAAAGGCCCTGGGTTTTGACAACAAACAAGGTCAACAGAATAAGAAGCAAAAGGTGGGTGTGGCTGGATGACCACGCTTCTGGTAACATGGGGGTGTGGCCTAATATGCTAATGAGTCTGGTGTTGGATGTGGCCTATTATGCTAATTAGTTCTTGCTGGGCTTTTTCTACAAAAAGAGCCCTGATAAGTATTAAATGGATATATGCACATATTTTTGTGAAATGGAAAATGAAAATATTTTTTTAAAAAAGAGATGGTTAGACAGTGTCATCGAGGCAACAAACATGAAGCTGAGCAAACTCCGGAGCACGACGGAAGACAGGAGGGCCTGGCGTGATGTGGTCCCTGGGGGCGCGAAGAGTCGGACTCGCGACTGTGCGACTGAACAACAACGAGCTGTCAGGTGCACACACACTGCATCAGACAATGAAATGGACTTACAGATCATAGCTGTATATACAGGGGTGTCTTGTTAAATTAGCATGCAAAATAGTGACGTGTTTTTTAAATAGGACATTGGGCAAAGATGGTTATTCCCCACTGAAGGGGTGCAGATATGCATTTCCGCTAGC